ACCCAAAATAAAATGTTTTGGAATGGTGAAAACGTTTTTACGTACAACAAAGCTGACTTTTCGTATACTTCCAAGAGCTTGGAATCTTTTTTTTAATTGTAGATGTTTTTACAGCCCCATCGACACAATTGAGATTATTTAGGAGGCCGGCTTCCGATCCTGCATGACAGGGCCAATTTGGGTTGAGAGGGATTTAACATCTCGACAGAAAGGCCGAGATACTTGATAATTTGTTGTCTCACAAATCAGGGGTCGAGCTCGGGTTCTCTGAATGCGTTGAGCAAATCGCCTAACAGCTACATCACAGAAAACTGAAACCGGTTCGTTTACATCTTCGAGCGTAGAGTCAATGCCAAAAGTATAGCACAGATGTTTGATTCTTAGCCAAAACGGAAGCATTACATAATTTGTGTGAAGTTTGCAATGTCCACGTTACATCGTTACTTGTGACGCTGAAACTCAAATCCTAACAAATGAAGTGTTGATCCTATCGTTACCGTACATTCAGAGACATATTGTTGCACCATTGATAAGAATAAAAAAGACGTTGATTGAATGCTCAAAATCTGCTGTATTAATTGAAGTATATAATGGGCCAACTGTTCAGATGTACTCAGCCCAAAAAGTATTTGTTTAAATTACAGTTTCTTATTTGTGTGAACGGTTTCTGCTGACTTCATAACTTCTATTTTGGCAATGCTGATTTTTTATCTGGTACTCTTTGCACTTTCCGTTTTGACTATTTGTATGTTCTTGCAAGCTGTCGTGTTTGTATTTATGATGCTCTGGTCTTTGGCGAACAGGAGTCCATTTGCTCTGTTGTTGTTATTATATATGTTTTTGACTGTTTGACGACTCCGTGTGTAATAAATAGAATCGGGGAGAGCAAACATCTTTGTCTAACTTCTGACAGTACTGGAAACAAGTCAGTGAGTACTTCTGTTGTTTTACGGCACAAGAATGTTCTCATAAAGAGCCATGTCGTTTTTTTTTTTTAAAAGTTGGCTTTCACTCCAGACTCCACCAAATAGGCTTGCATGCTCGGAAAGCTGCCTCCATCTTGGCACGGGTTATGCGTGCAAACTCCATAAAATCCCCAACTCTCACATGTGATTCATAAGGACTCTCTTTGTCTTCTCGGCTCATTTCTAGCATTAGACTGGCATTGCAGCAAATTTTCAAGGGTCTGGATCCTTAGATCTACTCTTGCGTCTCTCTTTCAAAAAAATCTTCCATATTGTCCTCGTATAAGAAACGTTCAGAAACCAACAAAAATTTAGTGGATATTTAACGTTACAATATGACATTTGAACTTTACAACGGTATCACATTCAAAAATGAAAATTATATACAGATGACGCCATAATGAAACGCTGTCGATTGTACATTAGTTGAAGTGACAATGTGGCATTTGATGTAACAATATGGCATTTAAAAATACCAGGTGTGCACTTATAATCGGGAAAAACAACTATACAACTCCAACTTAATAAACACTACCTTCTGAAATGACATAATATAGGGAATCATTCCCTGTCTCGCGAAATGTCGTTTTAATGAATGCAAGTATTTATCATTGGACTTTGTTTAACTAATCGCTACTCTGGAATTACAAAATCGATCTGCTCAGTACCTAGTTTTGAAAGATTTGGCTTCGAACATTTTGGAGTTCACGACATATAAAGCTTTTTCGAATGCACATTTTTGAATATCTTGATAACGACTGCAAATAATCTTTAGATTTTAATACAGTAGATAGGACTTTTGGTTTCTGACCTCAAGGTCTTAGTAATGTAAAACGCCCCAAAAATGTCAGATAGAACATTGAAATTTTGAGGTGGCATAATGTCGACATGGTTCAACAATAGCGAACCGGTGTTTGTGGTTGGGTGGGGTGAGGATGATAGTGATGGTTTGGGAAGGGGTTAAAGGTGGGAACTAGGCCATCAGAGCATGCTATAAACATTTGACTCTGCTATGGTCAAGCTCTGGCTCCATGGATCCTTGACTTGCCTTGAGCGACCGCGGCAATTAATGTCTTGTTCAGACGGACGTCTCATTGGTTATTGATGAAGAAACAAAGAGTGGCGATTATGGAGCCCATGAATAAGATCATCATCATCACAGAGTGGCTGATCTCAAGCAGACATCGGCAATCATGGTTCTCCATTCATTTGTCCGCTTGGATGGTCCAAAAATATCACATGTGTTCTCCCGTCTCCTATCCGTTCAGGTTTTCCAAATAAGTTTCTCTGGGTACGCCACCGCCTCGTTTGCCTTCTATCATTCCAGTGAGAGCAAACTGTCCAAAGCTCTTATGTCAAGTCAAATGTCCTAGAAATCGTAGCTTTGTATTTGTCGCTTCCAAATGTGTCTGAGCACAAAGCGGCCCACCTGGACTTCTTTCATTATTTCCTCGTTTGATGGCGGCATAAAAGGGGGAAATGATAATAACGTTCTGAAAAGACTCGACGCCACAGACCCACAATCTTTAGAAGCGTGAACGCTTTCGTGGATCCGAGAGAGCCATACCGAAAACCGAACACCACAGTGTAAGGTGTTAAACAAATAAAAGTTGGTGGCGTTTTCGCACCCTCATCAACACAGTTTAGATCATTTAGGAAGCAGGCTTCCGACCCTGTTTGTCAGCAGGGCCAACCCGGTCTTAGAGGGATACAATGTTTCAGCAGAGAGACAGAGGTACTCGGTAAACATTCTTCTAGAAATCAACAAAACTGATCGGTGGATTGAGAATGAGACTGGACGAGTGACTGCTTTTGAGCTTAGTTTTAGTTAGAGTTTTACGGTACTAGAAACACAAATAGGCCATATTATAAATGCTAACGATTAGAGGTGTTACTAGAGATGTACGTTAGGAAAGAAGGATGAAACCACACTAGAGCACTTTTGTGAAGACGTTATTTAAAACCATTGATTAAAGGCACAAAAAATGTGTAAATTTGCGGTTCCCAAGGACACTAAAGCTTTGGAAGTCATCAAGCTCTAGCGGCCATTATCTCCAGGTGACCCCTCCCACTTGAATCGCAGATATCTCGACATCTATTCAAGATATATGGGTATTTTTTCGTTTTAAAACAGGATAAATGAACAGGGTTTATGTAATACCAATAACCCCGTGTGCCCTAACATTGACATGCGCTTGATTCCGCCGTGTCGAGACACATTGGGTGGTAACCTGAAGTCAGAGAAGTACAAGGGCTCAAACCAATGGCACTCTCGTCACGTGCTTCTAGACTTAGCTACCCTACAGAACATTAGACACATACGGAACCCTCAAATTGACCAGTTGTGTAAACTGTCCGATCAGGAATGTTATAGAACCTATTTTTTGTGGGTTCCGCTGGGCTTGTGGACAAAATGGGTTCTGTGTTCCAGTCCAGTGATTGACCATGAGGGTGAAATACAACCCAGCACGCGACAAAAGAACGTTGTAATCAGGTGCTCATCAATTTTTGACCAAAGGGAGTTATTGCACGTTTGACTTGCTTATGATGGAAATTACCTTCTATCTTGAAAAGAAGTCGAGATTTTACAGTTTGATAGAAGTAGGGGTCGCCTGGTGTCAGAGGTAAAATTAGCGATAAAATGTCCGCCAAAGTTTGGTGACTTCCCAAGCTGTAGTGTCCTTGTAATCTATAAATTATCCCCCCCCCCCCCTTTGATCAAGGTTTCTCAGTAAAAATTCACACAGAAAAACATTGTATGTTGCTAAATGGACATACCAGACGTTGACCCCAAAATTGAAAAACAAAAACAAAGCAAAAACTTCGAAAAAAATGTCGGTTTCCTCGATTTCATTACTTTGACGAGCGCCTGAATTCCCCACAATGACACACATGACATTTGCGATACAGTGCAGTGAGTGATCAAGAGGAAAAATCATCGGGCATCTGTTAAACTATGCTAAGCCGAACATTTTAACATTTCTTTTTTGTTTGGTTCCTTAATCTGTGATATCATTGCCCCAAAAATATTTTGTCAAAGTTCAAATTTCAAATGTTGAACAAAAACCATAACAAAACACACACACACACACACACACACACACACACACACACACACACACACACACACACACACACACAACACAAGCCAACTCTCCCCTTTTCCCAAGGCGCCATTTCTTCTCAAATAAAAAGAGAGGAAAGCCAAAAAAAAAGGGAACAGAAAAAAATAAAATAAAAGCAAGGCGGGGAAGAAGATAGAAGACGACGGAGAAATGGGTCGATTGGTCGATAATCCAGCAACACACACGCACGCGCGCACGCGCACACGCGCACACGCACGCACGCACGCACGCAGACACGCTCACTAGGCAGTCATAAAACTAGCTCTTCCACAGGGCTGCTGGCCACAGCGTTCATTCCCCGGTTGCGAAAAATCATTAGCGGCGTCCATTTTTTCCCTGCGCGCCGGGAAAAGGGGGTGTTGGCTTCCAGCTACAAGTGCTGACGTCACTGGGGTGGGCGGAGCCTCGCGATAAGATTGGAAGGTCGCAGTGTCAGCCCTGGTGGATTGATTTCTTCACGATAGGCCCACGGTAGACAGAGCTAAAAATAGCTGGCCACAAAACCACAACAGGCGTCGTTGAGCTATGAGTGACTGGAAGGTACTAGAGCCACGGAAGGCTACTATTGAAAACAGCTGTTGACATATACACAGGGAGACGGGGGGGCAGGTAGCGAAGGTAGGAGAGATGGAGAGAGCGAGAGAGAGAGAGAGGTGGAGAGATGGAGAGAGGGAGAGAGAGGGGGATGGAGATGGAGAGAGAGAGATGGGGTTAGTGGACGGAAGCCCAGGTTTGCTGCAGTTGCGACCCACACGGGGTTTTATCGCTCTCTCCACACACACACACACACACACACACA